GGAGACTTTACCTTGCTTAGGTGGCCCCCACAATCACCAGATCTCAATCCAATTGAGCATTTGTGGGACGAAGTTGAAAGAGCCATCAGGCAGCTGGTTCCACAACCATCAAATCTCACAGAACTGGACAGTGCTATTCATCAGGCATGGTGTCAGATTCCTCGCATCACCTTTCAACATCTCGTGGAATCAATGCCAAGAAGAATCGCCGCAGTATTGAAGGCAAAAGGTGGCCCAACGAAGTACTGATGGGGTGGTCATAATAATCTGGTCACTCAGTGTATTCCTCATTCCGGATGGATTCTATGCGAGTAATTCTCTATTTCTTAAACGGTGTTATACGAGGAGCAGGCGCTGCCTGTGTGTTTGTTTTACATGTCTTGTGAGGAAACTTCCCAGTGGCCTTGAGGACGGCAGCCCTCCTATGATTGATGTTGGAGAACATTTGAGTTGGAGTCAGTTGAGCGCTGTGGTGTGCAGTTTCTTTGAATGTACAGGTGAAACTCGAAAAATTAGAATATCGTGCAAAAGTTCATTTATTTCACTAATGCAACTTAACACCCATACCACAACTATCCGATGTCGATACTGAGTATTTGGGCGAGTACTTGAATCCACCCCTGAAATCGCGCTTGGACTATTTTGCTGGACGCACGGTTTTGTACTGCGCGGTTTGCACAATAGGCTGAACAATGCACTTTAAACTGCATTGTGTGTTATGTTTAGTGCGGTTCCGCACATATTCATATGGCTGAATACAACCACTCCTGTGTGAATGGAGCCTTAGGAGCTTTGGAATGCAGCATTTAAAGGTGAACTCCGGGGGTGAAGTAAACATTGTCTAAATACAAGAGGCATGTGTATTCTTACTTGAATCTTGGTGCGCTTTGTGTGTTTCTTCCAGATCTGTGAAGTAATCCAGCGTTAAACTTTTCCTGTATTAAGACCGGTCACTGCTGCTCTCTTAGTAGTACAGGTGATTGGTCTTGTATCCGCCCCCCTCCTGTAGTTTTCTGCAGGCAGCCTGTAGTGGGTGGAGCTGTTGCGTCCTTCCTACTGCTCTGCTCTTTGCAAAGCTTATGTGCAGCATAGTGATGATGTCACTGCTACATTTATGTGTTAATAATTAGAGGTGCACCGAAATGACCATTTAAAACCAAAACGAAACCGAAAATGTTTTTTTATTCTAACTTTTTCAAATGTTTTAAAATATTATATTTATTTTTTATAAACGTTTTAATTTTTTATATTTTATGTATTTATTCATTTTTATTAAATATTTGTTACTTTACTTTTAGGGGCTTCAGGGAAATATTAGGGGTCTAAACAGACCCCTGATATTTCCCTTTTAAAATAGAAAAAGGTGTTGAGGACACAGAGTCCTCAATCTCTTTTTCTGCAGCCCCTGTTATAAATGAACAGGACGCCTCTATACTGAGTGTTCCTGTTCATTCATAATTTCTGGACAGAGTATGTTTACTATAACCACAACTATGAATGAACAGGAGGTGATGTAGATCACTTACCAATCATTCATACTTGAGGACACAGTAAACATACTCTGTCCTCAATTATTTACGAACACTGATCACTGAGTGTTTGTACCTGCTCTCCATCCGGACATGCTGTCACAGGAGGCTGAGCGAGCGGAGCTCAGTCTGCTGTGACAGCGCTGGCTGTATCTGCACACACCGCTCTCCTATGATCTGTGATAGGAGGCTGAGCGGTGTGGGAGGACAGACGCTGGCCGCACACAGCACTCTCCTCCCGCAGTGCTCCGCCTCCTGTGACAGTTTCTCTCCTCCCCGCTGGGACACAGAGCAGTGCCCAACGGGAGCAGAGGAAGAGCGGATCAACCACTATTTCGGACAAAATAATGTCACTTTCTGCATTTTGCCAAAAGTGCCATTTTCGCCCGATATGTTTCGGTGGCCGATATATCGGTGCATTCCTATTACCAATCAGGTTTGCAAAGTTATTTGGTGCACATAAAGTGGTTTTATAGCCTATGTGGCTATTCAGCCTAGTGTTCAGCCTTAACTTGGTTTATAAATGATATAGGACATCGGTATGCAACCTTGGCACTCCAGCCATTGTGGAACTACAAGTCCCATGAGGCATTGCAATACTCTGACAGCCACAGGCCTGACTCCCAGAGGCAGAAACATGATGGGATTTGTACTTTCACCACAGCTGGTGTGCCGAGGTTGCCTCCCCCTGATATGGAGTGTTGAACAAGTGATTTATAAACATCCGGGCTTCAGACCTAAAAGAGAGGCAATTGTAAGGTCCAACAGAGGCCCGGCTAGGATCACATTGGCGCGGTGCCATTATCAGAAGTCCCATTCAGGAAGCCAGGCGGCGTGTAATGACTCGCCACCTGGCTCCCTGATTAGCCGGGGAGCCGGGCAGCGTGTAAAGACTCGCCACCCGGCTTCCCGATTTGCAGGGAAGCCGTCCCCATGCTTCTCATCACTAAGTGACGAGAAAGCATGGAGCCGGCTTTCTGGCCATCAGGAAGCCAGGCGCTGTGTAATGATGTGGCGCCCGGCTTCCTGATTGGCCGGGAAGCTGGCTCCTTGCTTTCTCGTCATGAGGTGACGAGGGAGCATGAAGCCGGCTTCCCGACCAATCAGAAAACCGGGCGCCGTGTCATTACATGCTGCCCGGTTTCCTGATTGGCTGGGAAGCCGTCTCCATGCAGTGCATTGAATCAGGGCCATTATCCTTCCAATCTCCATGTAAACTGGCAAAGCCAGAGTTGGGGAATGGGACACAGAGAGACACAGAGGGTCTTTTCAGTAACTACTGAGCACCATCAATGGAACATTCTTCCTCCCATGGATACCGGGCCATTTTTTCTTCTCACTCACAATGATGCCAGGGCATTCTTCCTCTTACTGACAACCGTGGGGCATTACCAACACCAGGCATTGTTTTCTCCCACTGACCACATATGTAAAGTCCACTGCTGGACTCTATAGGCTGTGCTGTACATTACATACTCTGAGCCCTGCACCAGGCTGTGTTCTATAATACAGAGTCCAGGCCGCTGCACTCTTTATGCTATGTTACATGTTACACCAAAGCTAAGAGTCACCTTTACTTACCCAAATCCTTGGTTATGGTGACACGCTGGGTCCTGATTCCTTTACCTTCTTTACTGCAGAGGAGAAGGGATCTTCTTCAGGTGACCATGTTGCTGGCTGGGGATGTAGACTATTTCCTATTGGGGGATCTATTACGCTCCATAAGACTGCACAGCATGATGACATCATGAAAAGGCAACTGGATGGCGTTGGGCACAGACTGCAGTCCTGGATCCCTGGTCACCAATGCCTGCGAGGGGTACAAATGGCAGATTTGGGGTAACAAACACCTTGTTAATGGATAGGATGGAGCGGGGATTATGCTAGAGATGGACTTTGGATACATTGAGAAGCACAATTATTAGGCAAGTGAGTATTTTGACCAAATCACCATTTTTATACATATTGTCCAACTCCAAGCTGTATACACTTGAAGGCTTATTGGATGTCAGCATTAGGGATGGGCCGAGTGTTCTATTCGAACATCGGCAGTTCCAGCGCGCGCCGAACTTTATGGGATGTTCGCCGTTTGTTCGACTGCGGACATTCCATAATACAAAATGCCCACTGAAGCTCTGATTTGTTAAAGTCTTGCACCTGACCACAGCTCAGTCAGGGCAATCAGGGCTCAGCAGAGGAGGGGCCTGAGGGAGAAAGTTCTCTATCAGGTCCCCCCATGCTGATTGACAGCAGGCGGGTGCAATAGCCAGCTTGCTATTGGCTATTGCATTTTACAATATCCAATAGCAGGCTGGATATGGCTCAAAGCCTGCAGATGAAGAGGGGGCGGGGCAGAGGAGAAGCGGACGGACCGTGACCACAGGGAGAGTGTAGTATATACAGGGGGGGGTCATGACCACCCTGTATATACTACACTCTCCCTGTACCCCCGTGACCACCCTGTATATACTAAACTCTCCCTATACCCCACATGACCCCCCTGTGTATACTACACTCTCCCTGTACGCCACATGACCCCCCTGTATATACTACACCCTCCCTGTATACTACATGACCACCCTGTATACTACACCCTCCCTGTATACTACACTGTCCCTGTATATAGTCACTGCATGACCCCCCTGTGTATACTACAATCACCCTGTACACCACATGACCCCCCTGTATATACTACACTCTCCTTGTACCCCACATGACACCCCTGTATATACTACACCATCCATGTACACTACATGACCCCCCCTGTATATACTACACTCTCCATGTACACTACAGGGCCACCCTGTATATACTACACTCTCGATGTACACTACATGATCACCCTGTGTATACTACAATCACCCTGTACACCACATGACCCCCCTGTATATACTACACTCTCCTTGTACCCCACATGACACCCCTGTATATACTACACCATCCATGTACACTACATGACCCCCCCTGTATATACTACACTCTCCATGTACACTACAGGGCCACCCTGTACCTGTATATGTACACATGGAAGGTGTAGTATATACAGGGGGGTCATGTGGTGTACAGGGAGAGTGTAGTATATACAGGGAGGTCATGTGGTGCACAGGGAGATTGTAGTATATACAGGGTGGTCATGTGGTGTACAGGGAGAGTGTAGTATATACAGGGGAGTCATGCGGGGTACAGGGAGAGTGTAGTATATACAGGGGGGTCATGTGGTGTACAGGGAGAGTGTAGTATATACAGGGAGGATGTAGTATATACAGGGTGGTCATGTGGTGTACAGGGTGAGTGTAGTATACCCAGGGTGGTCATGTAGTGTACAGGGGGTCATGTGGGGTACAGGGAGAGTGTACTATATACAGGGGGGTCATGTGGGGTACAGGGAGAGTGTAATATATACAGGGGGGTCATGTGGGGTACAGGGAGAGTGTAATATATACAGGGG